ACAGAACATACCGATCTCATTAGTGTCCCTCACACTTGGCACCATCGTTCACAAGGAAAACGAGACAGTAACGAGCCTGAATGCAAAGTGCAGCCACCTCTCCCAAACCTATAGCAGTGCTTTGATGTGGCAGATCACAAAAAGCAGGCGCTGTCAAAAGCTGATGTATGGCAGAGTAAAAGGGCCCCAAGGTCAGAGAGCTGTCCTTTAATAGAAATCACTTTCCTTTTTCCTGTCCTAATTGGGGTGCATTAGCATCTTATGAACTGCTAAATTGTCAGATTTTTTTTTTTCCACAAGGATTTGTTCTTTTTTAAAGAAAGCTTTTTAAAAAAAGATACTTCCTTGAATTTTCTGGCCATGGAGGGAAAGCTTCTGGTCTGGATTAGCTTCACATTAACCTAAATTTTTACCCCATATCACAAGCAGAGAAGTTGGCTGAGAGAAGACAATAAATTTGATAGAGTCCCTATATTACTATCAAATAGCAAGCTGAAAATGACAATTCTCTGAACATGCAGGAATCTCTGAAATCTGTAGCATGGCACATTTTCAATTTTGCTGGGAAAGAAGCATATCTAATGAGTGCTATGTGCAATAAAACCACACACCAGCCTCCCCTCTGGGATCAGCCACAGGTGAACAAGTCTCACCAGTGATATTCAAACTTTCCCAGCACTAACACCAGAGCTGGCAGGGACCAGTTGGCCTCATTTAGTTAAAAGCTTTCTTTTCTGAATACCAGCACTATCTACACAGAAAAGCTGCAAGCAGCTGTTTCAGAGAGAAATCAAGACTTTTCACATAAACTACATGAAAAAACAATGATGGACAAATGGAGGAATGGTATGTGCTCTACCAGCACTAGGAAGGAATTGAAGATACACAGGTATCACATTTAGTCACTGGGACATTAACTGGCAGGAATGTGAATGACAAATCACAGAAAAACTCATCAAAACAGAGCCCCTCCTTACTGAAGATTGTTCAACCCAAACTGTGCCACAACAGAACATAAGCCTCAGGCCCTTCTATAGTTTTCCCTGATTATGCCAAATCTCTTGGTATTTTTGTTTCCCTATTTAATTTGCTGGGTTTATTGCAACAGCCTGTGTTGCAGAGCAGCTTCATTTCCAATGCTGGCAATGTTCCATTCTGGGATTAGCAGCTTTTGTCCAGGTAACCTGCAGAGTTCAGAGCCTCGACAAGAGATGCTGAGGAGATAATTGAAACTCTTAATATCTTTGAGCTTCCCTCCTCTGTGCTCCTGGATTGGCACCATCCCCAGCCTTGGATGTGAATCAACTCAGCAGGAACACACAGAAATCAACAGGTTTTTGTTATTTTGGCTGAAAATTCAGGCCAAGTATTGACTTTCCCATTTTATGCATAATAATAAATGGTAATTTCTGATGGAGCAGGGGGTGACACAGCAGGCCACCCCTCACAGTCCTGCTGGCATCTTGGCTTCTCCCAGCCCCCAAAGATGTAGCACCTGTCTCCTGCTTTGGCCTTTAGAGAGAACTTGAGCTTGTCAGTAAAATAACCAGAATTTCTATAAATGCCAAGGTAGGTGATAATAACATTGTTATTGACAGTTTCCTATTGTTTCTGAGGCAAATCATGTCTAAAGAGATTTAGCCTTTATTTAGCTATAAAAAAAATAAGCTGATGAAGCAGCCTGAGAAAAAGTACAGCTATCTCTTAATTACATTTCAGGGATAACTGATACCTCATACTGGAGCTGGCAGCACTTGATATAAAAATCAATATATTTGTGAGAAATGGGAAGGGCTGAAATAGTCTCAATGCTTTTGGATGATGTGTGACTGGACTGTGCCATGCCCACATCCTGGCTATGTCCAGACTCTTTTTGGTTCCTGTCCAAGCTGACAGATAATAGCAGCTGCCACTGAAATCACATCAAAGCAGCACAGGAACATGATTAACCCAGGCAGCCTCCAGGAAAGTCCTCAGAAAGTGCTTGAACTGGGAGTTTGTATGGACTGAATGACAGAACTCAGAGCAAGGATTTGGAATGACTTCCAGGCTCCATTGAGAAAGTAATTTCATCTGCCTGAACCTCAAATTTTTTATTTGCATACCAGTCCTGCCATGCAATGCTCTTCCTGAGAGGTATGTGATCACATAAGAAGCTTTGAAATTCTCTGTGAAATTGCTTTTTTAAGGTTATTTGGCTTGCAGACCTCAAAGGAGCAGAATCTGAAGTCATTGATTTCCTACAATCCTGAACCTTAGGGGAAGACAGTCCTAGTTTCTCATGAATACGCAAACTTCTCTATTAATATATTTTACAATAATTTCTTTGCTATATGGCTTCAAAGACTGGATGGCTTTATAAGTACATGCATTAACATAAATATATTCCAAGATTAGTGAACTCTTGCTCATGTTTTACAATTTTCCAGCCTTTTTTCATCTACTGAGACATTGAAAACAATGCCAGAGTTCTGTTGGCCTGGCTTTAACAAACCCAAGCAGCCACTTCAGGACAGCACATGGGAAGACATCACACTGTGGATAAGGAATACAAGACATTTCTCTTTCTCTACGTGTCATTTCCCACTGCCTGGGATTTCAAAACAGCCAGGGAGTTACAAAATCAAACAGCACAGCTCAGAACTTCCAGCCAGAATCAGTCTCCAGCTCCATTTGCTCAACTGCACTTGCCAAGGATGGATCCATGGGCTTGGCCTCATCCCCCTTTAAGTTGTTTATGATTTACTGTGTCAGCTCCCAGCAGGGCAGGCAGGGGTAGTTCCATCAATAAAAGGCTGGAATAAATAACTGAAACTCCACCAAGGGCAGCACAGAAACAACCTTATTTAAACAACCAACCTTTAGGTCAATTATTTATTATCTGCAGCATTTGGAACATATCTTCCTGCTCAAGGTCAACACACAAATGGTGGACAGTCACACCCAAAGAAGAAAGAAACCTAAGCTTTTGTATTTCCATTCCTTTTTCCCTTTAAATTCTCTCACACAGGACTATTATACCAACTGTGTACCATCAGAGTGTGGCTGGAGCTAATAGAATATCATTTCAGTAAAATACTCCAACCACTCACTTGAGTAACAGACAAAAAAGCCCAAACAAGGGGGAGAGAGAATGCCTACAGTCAAGACATTAAAGGAAAACACAGAACAGATGAAGGCCATCAAAGAAACAAAAGAAAGTGATTTTGGAATAAATTTCTAGATTTACACATTTGGCTACCTACACAAACATCTGCATTCCCCAGCTACTGGAACCCTCTCACTTGGATTAGCTCCACAGTCAGCTTTGCATCTTGATCACAATCAGACTCTTTGGGAAGCCATTGCAATAAAACACAGCAGCTGAAAACGTTCTCTCCTTTCCTACTTCTGTTCCCTAGAACACGCTGTGCCCTCTGCCATGCTCACTGTTAGTTCTCTTAGCAACAATGCACCATTTTAGTGGGACTATTGGTATTTTCCTTTTCAGTGTGACAAAGCATTCATCTCTGTAACCTTGCTCAATAAGATCAAGCACCTTCCAGTGGCCCTGACAATGACACCTTCTCAGCATACAGCTGGGTTTTCAAACACTTTTAGATTATGGAACCACTGTAAAAACAGACATGTAAGAAGACACTGTATACACACTTAAAACAGTTCTCTCTAGGTTAAAAACCATTTTAGAGTGGTAACACATACATTCTTAGTGTTTATCTATACACTTGTTCTCTTTTCATTTAGCATTAATATTCCCATTCATGCTTCTACAAATGCAAATACAAAGCAATATATGAGGTTATATCCAATGATGTGATTTAAAGTGGCAAAGGAATATCCAGATGTAACCTGACCTCCATAAACCATTCCAGCCTTTGTATTTAAAGCAGTCCTCATCATAAATCTCCCTCCTCGAGTCCCAGTTATCATAGCTGCATGCAGAAGAGGGCTCTCTATTCCATGCTTGTGTTTTGGTGTCTGACAGACATATTCCACTCTGGACTCCCTGCAGTGCTGTTTCCCTGGCTGCATTCCCAGGATCCTGTGCTGCATCATCTGTACAGGTTTTCATCTCCCTGCCTGGCTCCTCCCAAGCATCATGCTTCTTTATTGGCTTGTGAATCCCAAATTCCTTTGGATACAGCTAGTCACTATTAAATTTGAGGATTTACACACTGATTAACAGCAGAATTGGATCTGTCTTTGGGTTACTACGAAACATTTGTGCTGTTACATGGCACATCATTTTCTTCCAAGGGTATATAAAGGCTTTGATATTTCATTTTTTTAAATAAACAGAAATCTCTCTCTGGTTAGTAACATTGTTCTGTCACACAGTCAAAACCTGCAGAGGCTGTGACAAATAGGGAGGTCATGGTCAAATGTAATAAGAGCTCACATTCCCTTGGAAATCCACCAGGGAGCAGACAAAAGCAAGCATTTGCTGAGCTCCTGGGGGAAAGCAGAGCGCTTGCACCGAAGCCCTTGGTATGCAGACGGTGTCGCTGCCTTTGGAAACAGGCTTAGGTTTGAAACCTATGGGAACAAGCGGATGGGGCTGAGGCTGCTGGGGAGAGCGTGCCCCGGGCTAGCTCAGGAGCAGCACAGGCTGCACAGAGGATGCCCAGGGCTGCTCTTTGTTCTCACACCTCCGCCGAGTGCCAGGAGCAGCGGGGAAGCAGCTCTGCTCACTCGGTAGAGAGAGAGAAGAGAGATTGCTATTGATAAATGGGGAAACTTCAGGCAGCGATGCTGTCCTGCCCTGGAGCCCGGGCTGGGTCCATCCTGCCCTGGAGCCGCGGGGCACCGGCGCCACCGCCCGGCTGCTGGGGCTGCCCCGGCTGCTAAACCCACCCGGTGCGTCCCTTTTCACCTCCTGTCCCTGGCTCCTGGGGTGCGGGATGCAAAGCACAGCGTCCTGCGACTGCCACACGGCTGTGCTGCAACGGGGACAGGGGACACTGCTGGGACCTTGACACTCGCAGCATCTTTGTGCCTACCTGTGCTGGGCTTCAGCCGGCTCTCGGCAAGCTCTGAGATGGCTCCTGCTGTGATTGTCTTCTTCAGCCTGGACACTCCCGAAGCTGCTGCTGGCCCGGGTTTGGTGAGCATGTCCTCGCTGCTCGCCCGCTTCAGCTGTGACACAGAGGGGGGACAGGTCAGGACCCTGAATATTCCCCTTAGTTAGTTCAAAATGCAAGATTCTTTGGGGAAAAAATATTAACATTTCCATAGAGTAGCCCCACAGGAATATTGCCTTGATAACTGGAGTACATAATTTTTGTATTTGCATTCCATTCTAGGTTTTTGTGAAGTGGGTTAAGGGATAAAGCGCTGTTCCAAGAATGAGGAATGAAAATGGGAAAGACTGTTCAAAAAGGAAAATAATTAAAAGGCAATGAGAAAACAGTTTACAGGAGTGGTCTACTGGCAACTTTTTGGGAGGGAATCTGGTGACACAAGTCTGCTCTAAGTGCCAACTGAAGAAACCCATGGAACACAAGGACAAGGTAAGATTCAAAGAGAAACACTGAAATTATCTTGCTTCAGCAAGCAGGAGTTACAGTTTATCCCAGAACTTTGGTCAGCTGATTTCCCATTCGTGTGCCTCTAGTAACAGTTTCTAATTAATTTCAGGAAAAATACTTTAAGTATTTTAAGACCAAAGCTTAGGAGAGTCTCCCTAGAGCAGTAGTTTTCCTATACTTTTGAATTTGTGGACACCTCAAGTGTTTTCTCAAAAGCAAATCCACTTCCTTTGAAGTTGTCCAGTGCCACTGGGGGTCCCTGAAGCTCAGGCTGAACCCCACTGCTGGATTAAGAGAAAAGAGAGTACACAACAAGCACTGCCCCTATTTAGTAGTTCCTGAATGTGAAATATTCAAGCAAAATGAAATCTTTCAACTCTAATTCCTTCTCCCTTTAATCTCCTCCTCTGACTCAGAGCCTGTGGTTTCCTGGACCCTGTGAGCCCATAAGTTTCAACAGCTGAAGTGTTGATGGTGCTCCAGGATACCAAACAACGAACGTTTTTCCTTCTGGCAGAGGTTTTGTCAGCTCACTCTCGGGAGGAGAATGGAACAACCTGACTTTCTGACCTTCAGAGAGTTCTGCAGTCTCTCTGAAGTAATTTCTTCAATGTGTTCTTCCCTACAGCAGCAACTGCAGTGCCTTTTCTACTCCCTTTCTTCAAACAAGCCACTTTGATGATTTTGCATTTGCAGCTGGATACAATTTGAAGTCATTAGCTGTCATTAGGAAGAAATCTCTCCACAATTAACACTAAATTTAACAAATCAATCGTATCAGATTTCCTGATTAGTGTCCTCAATGGCATTCCTTCAGAGATGCTGCCTCAACCACACAGCATAACCTGCCTGGAGCACTGAAGTACCCTATTGGTATCTGCATCTTGGAGTCTGCACAGCAAGTTCAATAAATTAATCCTTTCCTTGAAAAACTGTAACAATTAATGAAGTTTTAATCAAGAGAAGATCTAAATACTGTACCCTGCTATGTACTGTTCATTAAACTTTGTTACTGGAAAGTTACAACCTTGGCCTGGGTTTGGATGACCAGGTTATTTCTGTTTGCTGGCTGCAAGGGTGCAGATGCAGCAGCATTTCAGGTGTATAACTCCATTTTCTTAAAAACAGTACTTGGACAGAAGTTTCTGTTATTTTTTAAAATATATCTGTATTAAAAAAATAGGATTCATAAAATGCATTTGTTACATTGCAATGTCTTGTGTTAAGATATTTTGCCTTGAAGGGAGAGGCACAGGTTTTTAGGAATGCTGGAAATTCATTAATAAATCTCTTTGAATTTCTTTACACGTGTAACTATCAGCTGAACTAGAAATTTGCCATTTGTTTTTCCCCAACTTCAAAGTTTAGCCAATTCCCTCACACACAGAGTGTACAGATTCAGTACATGCAAAATACTTTGAGAAATGTGTATTAATTTAATTTACAACAAAATTTAAATCTCCCTGCACTTAACACAGTGTGTGTGGTAGTTTGAGGACTAAACCAAAGCTTTAACCTGGATCAAGACTGGAATGCTTGAACAGTCTCCAAGGATTTGTACCTTGCTGAGCCGAGATTCAAAGGCCAGGGAAGTGGAGGACTTTGATGTCTTCATTCCTGTGGAGGTGGTGGGAAGAGGTTTCCCTCTGTCAACTCCATGGCTCCCTTGCTTTGCTATTGCACTCCAAGGCCTGGCACTACTCTTCATTTTCTTCCCAAGTAATTCAGTCTACAGACTCTAAAAAAGAAAAAAAAATTAAAAGTTTATATGTATTCATGCACTCATACAAAAATATAACTTATCTTTATGTGACCTGAAAGGCAAGAGTGATATCTGGCATGAGTTTAAAGGGCTGAAAAGGCCATGCTATACTTGATCCCCTCTCTCACAAACATCAACACTGAGTCTAGAGAAAGCTTCAGAGAATGCCACAGCCACTTTTACTTTTCATACCAACCACAGAAGAAACTTTAACTTTTCTGGGGACTGTTTAAGTCCCAAAACCTCTCTCAGGCACAGCAAAACACCTGTAAGCACTGAAGCACAATGAAAGAGAAACTAAGAACATTGAAGCCCACAGCAATTTAAAGAAACCTTGGGATAAAAGGAAGAATACTTATTTTACCATTAGATCCAGCGTCTTCAAATGAAATAACATTCACTTTTAGAAAGTCACATGAGAAGCAAGTTTCCTCAGATGGGTGGAAAATATATCTTTAACTTATCAGAGTCTTCTAGAGGAGCAGCAGTTGATGTTGCCACAGTGATAAAAAGATGTTCCACAATACCAAGACTCACAAAACATGGTGAAAAAAACCCAACTTCTTTGCAAACAAAGATCCAGATCCACTATTCCTCAGAGATAAGCTTATGCAAGAGAGAAATCCTGCCAGGAAGCAGCAAACAGACATGGTTTCCTTTTTTTGGATGTAGCTGAAGACGTTTCAGCTGCCAGCAGGAACAAGCAGCCTGTTTCCCTCAGCAGGCTGACAGCTGCCAGTTAAACAGCTCCCTGCACTCCTGGAGATCTAAACCCATTCATTTCCACCAGCCACTGCCCAATCCACACCATGAGCAGAATAAAAGAATTATTTGGATGTTTTTCCCAAGTCCCACGAACCTGCTGGGCTGGGAATGTGAGGGAGGGGAAGTGGCCTGATATCTCCTGTCCTCCCCCACTTCGTATGAGCAACATTTTTCTTCATTTTCCAAAATAGACACAGGATGTAGCTATGGCTCAGCCTTGTGTAGGCAGAGGGTAACTTGTCTGTTAAGCAGGTAACCAGAATATCCACAGGCACAGGATGGAATGCTGGAAATTCATTAATAAATCTCTTTGAATTTCTTTACACGTGTAACTATCAGCTAAACTAAGAATTTGCCATTTGTTTTTCTTCATATTCAAAGTTTGGGCAATTCCCTCACCCACAGAGTGCCCAGTGCCTGGCAAGGTGCTCAGAGGGACAGTGAGCTTGGGCAGCAACACCTTGACAGAGACACTGCAACAATTTACTCCTGGCTGAGTCAGGAGGGGCTCCAGTCACATTTTACATCCCATGATTTGCTTTGTACCTGATTTCACATTCATAAATGAGAGCATTCACTGAACTCCCAGGACACAGCTCTGTCAGGGCCCAGGGTGGATGTGACAGTGACAGCACCGTGCAGGTGCCACCTCGGTCTGTTCAGGGAGTGCTTCTGCACGGAGGTGAAGGAATGTCAAGTGCTCAGCTGCTGTTCACAGAGAACAAAGCCAGCAAGTGACATTCCCTCTGTTTGTCCTTGCTGCCTCTTGCAGGGGGGGCAGTCTGCTCTCTCCATAGCACTTCCCTATCAGCTCCTAAATAAAGGAATTAAAAAGTTAGTAGTTGTTGCTAAGTATAGGCATTACCCCATTAAAATTCTTCACACATCCAGCGAGGAGCCATCCACTGATCTCATTAAGAGCCTTTGGTGATGATTATGCTGATCACTGGTTTAAAGCCCTGACAGATATGTAAACTATATTACAATAGATGATATAATTTAGCATTCCCACAGCTCATGATCCACCTTAGCAAGCTTTGGTGCTTACAATATTTAAAAACTTATCTTTTAACAGGCTCTTAATCCTTTTAACATTCACTGTATTTATATGGGTGAACAGGCAACTACACATGCAAACTCTTGCTGATTACATCTCCAAATTATGCAGATTTTGGTTTTTTGCAGATCCAGTGGTTGCACATACACAGCTTTATTATACCCTCTGGTTCTCTTCATAACTGTACCTCATATTTTCCTGCCGTAAGCTGTACAGATGCTGTCTTGATATCCAAAGGAATTTAATTTTGAGTCATCCATGACATTTTCAAGTTGCAGTGGAGTGATATGCTCATTAGAGCATGATGTTAGGAGTAAAAGGAAGAGGTACTTAAACAAAAAAACCCAAACCACAATTCAAGAAATCCAGTCAGTAGCCTAAGGCAAACTGGCTTCTTCATGTAAAGAGAGCTGAATTATTTGCCATGTGGATTCAATAACATTTTACTGCACCAAGTAGATGAAACTAAAATTGAGAAGAAATACCTGGATTTATTAGTGTTTATTATTAGTTTTGCCATGTATTTATAGGAGAACTGGCATTTGTAAAAGATGGAGTTAAGACTTCTCAGGTATTTGGCTAACCTGAATTTGCCTTGTAGATAAAGATTTCCATCTCTGAAGTGGGATTCCAGGACTTTCCACAAGCCTTATATGTACTTCAAAGCATCAAGCCAGGTTGCACATCCTAAGCTGCTTTCATTCCTAAGTAGGTGACACATATTTGAGTTATTAGAAGCACTGCTTCAGTAGTGCAAAATAAAAGTACCTCAAGAAAAAAAAAAAAAAAAGTGAAAAAAAAAAGTCCTGCTGTTCTTTGATGAGAGCAGAAAATCCATTCTCAGAGTCACCATCAGCTTTCCCCCTCCTCCAAAAGCAATTTATTGCATTACAATGAAACAAGCAAAACAAAAAGCTCCATGGAAGGGGTGAGCAGGGGGGACAATGGAAAACCCTGGAGTTCAGGACCAATCAGGACACCCAGCACTGGCAAGGAGGTTTTTCTTATCCTGGTGTAAATACAGCACATTTATTAAAAACATCCAATCCAGCTCTTATCTACTTGTGTCTTAGAAGTAACTCTGCCGAATTTTCAGCCTTCCACAAGGACCCCAGAGAGACTGATTTGATCTCTAGGCTATCCCCAGGGAGATTTAAAGAGAAGGAGCTTTCCACAAGAGACACAACCAAGCTGTTCCTGCAAACACAGGGACAAAAATCACCTGTTTTACATCCATTCTGTGTCAATACATTTCAAATGAGAGCTGATTCTCATGGGAAAACGACTTGCTTTAAGCAATGCCTCAAGCTCTGTGGGTTTAGTTTTCATTTTTGCACCTTTCACAGGGAATTTTCCTTAGGAAGCAAACAGAATTACTGCCAGCCTGAAATTCAAACTCCTTCTTGGGCATCAGCCAGAGCAGGGCACTCAGCTGGCCAGACTATATCCCTGTAGCATGCCCTGCTTGGAGCTAGACTCTGAAAATGAGGAAACAACCCCATGCTGAAATAAATGAGGACTCAGCAAGACATAACTTCAGCAAAATTGGTTCTATTGCCAGGCACTTCCAGACTGCAGGGGCTTGGGGTTGGGTTTTTAAAAACCTTTTACACCCAAAAGTGGTGTCTGAATACACTCCTCCCCTGAAACAGGTACTGCAAATGATAATCAGGCTTACCAAAAATGTAAAGCTGGTCCTGACAGAGCTTCTTGTGTCAGTAATCCTCAGAATTCCCTGCAGGCATCAGCCTTTAAAAATTCAGGCCATGCTATACAGTTCATCCTTTTTTACTGGTATTTTAAAGGATGTTTGGACTATGTTGATGAGGACTATTTTGGCAGTTGGCAGAAGTTCTGCAGTCCATTTTACTTGAAATTTCACTGTTTTATTAAAGGATGAGAACCCAGACATTTCTTTATTAGTCACTCCACATGCATTTATAAATAAAAGTCTTTAGAACTAGCCTAGAATGATTCCCATTTTATGGCTAGAAAAACTGGATTAAGAATTTATCCTAACTCACAGGCAGTCAGCATCAGCAGAAGCAACACCAGGGCTCCAGGATCTTTAGACTTGGCTGTGGATCAAAAGAGGAGTTCACCAGTTCTGGGAAATAAACTTCTAGGGCACACATTCTGCTGACTATTAAAGGCTATTTTATTCTGAAGAACTAAAGAAAATAGATAGAACTAAAGAAAATTGATTTGAGTGATAAGCAATATTATTTCACAGTCAAGAAACCTAGGATTTGCACTATTAAATAAATAAAAATTATTAGCATATCTGTAGAAATTAAATTACCCAGGAAAATCCCTGTTGGGGGACAGAAAGCATCTGTACCCCATATATAATTGTTATACAATTTAGGTTTTGGTGCACATGTCTGTGTGTCAGGACTCAGCAGGACACTCAAATTAAAGCAGAGTCATGCACAAGTTGCTTTGGGAAAAGGAAAGAAATAAAGAATTATGAAAGCTCATTACTGAATCTGGAGAGGAATGTGCCAGATGGCAGCTTCACCAGGACCTGGGAATGCCCAGCAGTCCTGAAGGATGAGGCCACAGTCCCAGCTCTGCACCTAAGGCCCTCAAAGGACACATGTGTGACTTTGGTGGGTCAAACCCCACAGTCCCCAGTGCCATTTTCCTGTAATTCAGTTACTTTTCATTACATCCCAAGGTCAGACTATTCCAGAAGCTTTGTAACACACACTCATGAATTCAAAGCGTGATTTTCTTTTTTTTTTTGTAAAATCTGCATCATGCTTCTACTATTTTCCCTCTAATCAACTTCTGCTATTTTCAGAGAAACTATCAACTAGAACATAGAAATATCTAACAAGTTCAGTAAACTGTAAAGCATTTTCTAGTGGCACGTAGGAAGCTGCATGGCAGGATAGACAGCTGGGCTAAAATAGAATTCTTTTCTGCCTTTCACATCAATTAACTTTAAACAACAATTTTTAGGCTTGACAGATGCTTCCATATGACTCATCTTGATTTCTTAACTGATATTAGGAATCAAACCAGGGAAGCTGATAGTCCAAATACAGTAATTGGTAATGTGGAGATAGATGGCATAGAGAAAACTCCATTTAGAAATAAGATCAGGCTAAAAAATAAAAACAAACTGTTAGTCCTTTGGTCATCTTTAACAGATTTCCTCAGGCATCTGCTCCTTTAACCTCAGCAGAATTTCTGTATCTATCCAGTCTCTCTTTGCTTTAACTCCTATTACCTTGTTTCGGTGTATTTGAGGGTCTCAGTGCAACCTTCCTTCATCATTCCTCCAAGCAGTCACTTGCTAGATTCTTGCTTGTACAAAGCTTAACTTTAATTAGGATTGGATGAAAAAACCCAGCAAAAAAAAAAAAAAAAAAAACAAAAAAAAAAAACAAAAAAACCAAAAAACACCACCAAGCCAGACCACTTGCTTCCACCCAAACACAACTCAGACAAAAAAAAAAAAAAATACCCATTTCCCAAAACCTCATCTCTAATGCTCCTCTTGCTTTTGCTGTCCAAAAAGAATCAATTATAAACCCCACCCCAGACACTTCACAGTTTCCTCTGGTCTACCTCAGCAGACTCTCTTTCCAATCTCATTTGCAGCTGAATTTTCGTGGTTTGCTGGTAGAGGACCAGGAGACAAGACAGCACTTGGAAATTTTCATGTCCAGACAGCAGGGCAAATTCTGCTGGTTTTATTCGTGCCTCAAGAAAGATGCTTTTAGTGCTATTATTATTATTTTTCAACTTTAAACAACGAAGAAGATTGTACTATAATAAAAACAGCTAGGCAGCTGTAGAATTGAAGTGATCTTGCAAGGAGTTAAAAATGCTGTTAAATTTTAGCCAGAGAACTACACAGAAATGAGGATACAGACATTGCCAAGGTCACCCATTTAGTCACTCTTGGGTAGAAGCTTGCTTTGCATTTTTGCTTTAATGATTCTTCTGTAGAACTCTTCAACATCAAAAGAACACTTTCAATGTGGCATCAGATGAGAATTTTCTTTTCAGAGGATACAGCTCTACCTCTCCTCTAGAAGCAACTATTGCAGAGCCAGTTGCTTTCCTTCCCCCTATGGTGTCAGATGCAAACAGATAATGGAAACTCCCTTCAACTTCCCAAAGACAAAGTTTATCTGTGGTCACAGTGGTAAGGGAGCAGCTCACATTTTTGTGTTAAGGCTTTTTTTGCTTATTTCCTTTGTGTGTTCTCAAGAATTCCCTACAATTGGTGTTTATTGAGTAGCACACAAATGTACTGAAGGGTTCCAAGGATGTCCAAAGATCAGAGGTGGCACAGGCAAGGACAGGTCCAGGCAGCCACATGTGACAGATTTCCAGCCATCAACTCAGCCTCCAAAACCATCCCCAAAAGGCTGCCCAGAGGCCAGGCCAGCAACTGCAAAACTTCATGTCTCAGCATCATCCAAAATAAAATTCTCTTCCCACAGCAGCCATTAGAGTCATTGATGACTTTTTCAGGCATGGAGAGCACTGCAAAACCTTCTGCCCACCCTCCTCCACAGAAGCTCTCCCTGGAGTTTTGGATTTGTCAGCCTTTCACTCATCCTTAGATCACATGAGAAAAATGCAGAAATCACAACAAAATCCTCAGGTGGACAAGGAATTGGTTCAGCTGCATTTCCCTTGTCCTTGTTCCATGCTGCTGGCCATTTGAGAGACAGAAAAATACAGAGATCATCCAGCACAGTGACTGATGCTGGCAAACTGAGCCAAAGCTGTACTGGGAGATGCCTGGGAACATGCCTGTCCTGTATTTGAATCACACTGTTTGTCCATGGATTCTCCATCTCCTCCTCCTTCCTCACACTGATTATCTAACCAGTCACCATTACACAGCTCAGGAGAGAAATGCTGCTACCTCCCTATGACCCCTGATCTTATAAATGAGAGGATAAAAACAAAACTCCCAACCCAGCTGTAATTTTCTACATGATGTGGCAATTCTGAATCACAAACACCATGTTACTGAAGGATGCACAGGGAGATTCAGGAAGGCTAAAAATGATGCATTGACTCCAAATTCCCTTTTTGAAGTTACAACCATGTTATAATCGTGACGAATTAGGTCACTCTGGGCTTTCCCCAATATGACTCTGTCCTGAATAGATGGGTTTAATTCATGTTCAGTACATTCAGGTTGAGAACAAAAATGTTTTAGAGTCATTTCAAGGCAGCTATTGCTCATTAATCCACGTTCTTTCAACTGCTGTCCCAGTGAATACAGCACAAAGCAAGTGACACATTCGGCCACTTCATGTTTTGCCAACCCACAAGAAGGAAGAGAAGAAGGTTTCATTTCAGATAGAGCAAGAGCTATATAACTGCTGAAGAAATTAAGAATAATTACAAGTGGTTTGCCTGATAATTACCTGCCATTACGTTTTTCGGTAGCATAGAAGGTAAACACAACTACAAGAAGGAAAAGGAACGATGATGTTTTTTTGGAACAGCAGAGATGGACAGCATGTGGCTACATGGTCATCCTGACTGGAACAGAGAGTGGCAGCTTCCCTGTCCCCTCTGAGCATGGAAGGATGATACCAGAGGCAATGCATTCCATGGAATTCCACCTGGATCCATCCTCAGCTTCAGCACAGAATCATCATACCCCCTCAGCCATGCAATCTTCCCATGCCTTAGTTTTTCCATTTATAAAATAATTGCTCACTAAATAGGATATTTATGAAGATGGACTCATTCGTTTGCCTTGGAAAGGAACCCCACAGAAAAAAAAGCAAAAATTAGATAAATCAACATCTGTCACACAGCACGCAAGCGAGCAGCCTCACAGATTGCCACATGCTGGGATGTTTCCCTGACTCCCGTTTTCCATCCATCACAGTGCAGAGAAATTATTGAGATCTGGAAGCTATCCCTTAAGGAGATATTTATCTCCCATTAAAGAGCAAAATAGCTCACTTGAAGTTCATAAACTGGGAACTTCTGAGCATTTATGAGAGACAGTTTTAACTTCAGACAGAAAGGGCTCCTTGCAAGGATAAGGACATAACTCCAAAGCTGCAGGAGAAACCAGAGGACTTCTGCATTTTAAAAATATTCATAATGAACAGGAACAGAACAGACCTAAGCAGCAGTTTGCAGCTGTGACTGGGGGCCACTGATGGACTCAATGAGCCACCTTGGTGGGCTTCACAATGAAATTAAATTGGTTTAGAACTGCACAAGAAATGGAAGGGGTAGCACATAGCCAAGTGCATGTTAGGATGAGGAATTTCTGTGGTAGTTACAGAAATTCTGCAGAAAAAACACTGAGCAAATGAGGTATTCTCTCTCCTGCCAAGGTTACAGCAGCAAAGAACACTTGAATTTAGAAAGAAACATGCAAACCAGAAAGGATCAGTAGGGGATTTCTAGAACTATACAGAAAAGGTAGAGAATCCCTGTTTTCAAACCAGTTCTACCACTAATCCTGTACTGCTACACACACAGGGCTTAATTAACATCTCTACAACTTTGCCATATTACCTGCTCTATAAATGCTGTTATTATTGCAATTGTTTCTATGACCAATCTTCATCCCCAGCACAATTTTAAAGACAACAGTGGAGGTGCAGTAATGAAAGGGCCCTGCTGAGAACCTGACCAGCCCTGGCTGCCAGAGGTGCCTGCTGGAGTGCCCCAGCACTGTCCCTGCTCCCACAGATATGAGCTGCCAAAGCTCCTGGCTCAGCAGCCCCTTCCCTTCTGCCCTTCCTTCACTGGACTGTGTGCACATGCAGCAGCAGAGGAAACTCTGCTCGTGCTCCTGCTTCGATTCACTGTCGGGGAAGAACCGTAAATTGCCAGAGGAGAAAGCAGGAACAGAAACAGCTTCACCCCTTCTGTCACTAAATCAATGTAGCTGAGCAGGAGGAAAATACAGTAGCCAGCTCTCCTGAGGGGATTTTTTTCTGTGGTTGTAATGGCTTTTAGACCACCCCCACCCAGCCCATTTTCAGCTAACACAGCTGTGTTTACCCTATTTTTGATTAATTCAATTTAGTTTTACATTGAGATGCTACGAAAAAAGTGTTGTTGAGCAAAGCCGGGTCATTCACTCTACAAATACATTACTGACCCAAGAATCCTTCTAGAGATAATACAGTTCCCATAAAAGAAATAAAAGATAATAAAATACTTACAGCAAAAAGCTCGTCCTCTTTTCTGCGTTAAAAAGAAAAGGGTCTCCCACTAGCTTCTGACAGCATGTGCAAACCAGACTGAAAATTCAGGGCTTGAGTGCTTCCCTGAGAGGAAAACCACATTCAGAGAGACACAGAGAGCTGCTTGAGAAATGATTCACACACGGAAGCGAGCTGGCTCCACCGGCGCCTCGGCATTCAGCACACACACAGCACTCGCTTACTCAGGGGAATGACAAATATTATATTTTCATCAAAGCAAGGAGGATTTATGCAAGAAAGCAATTTGAAGCCTAGGTCCAGAGCAGTGAGATGCTTCAATCCTTAAAGCAGATGAAGAGTTTCTTTCAGGGTCCCATCAGCCCCAGCTGCAGGACTGGACACTGGGCAGAGCATAAACCACAAACTGGTCTGGATGATCCAATTAAGCAAAAACATGCAGCACATACAACGGAGAAAGGGCAAGGAGGTGGCACAGAAAAAGGCATTTTCAGAGGAAAACACAGGAGCAGCTTTCAGAAGCTTTTCTATTCCACAAGAATACATCCCACAGAGTGCCAGCAATCACAGCCAGGACACCTGATGGCATTTCCCTTGCCTCCATCATTGCTTCAACAAAGTGGAAAAATGGGTCTAGGGAAGGAAGGTGCACTAAGACAGAAGCTTTTACAAAAGTAACCAGAATAAGTCCTGGGTGACTTGAGCTGCCCAAGAAGGGTCAATCTGTTCTTTATTTAGAAAAAAGCAAATAAAGGACAAGAGCGAACAAATGCTTGAGAACGTTAACCTCTTCCTTAAGATTTTTGAAAAGAATTTCATGATTGAAAACAGGAAGAAAAAGGCTGGAGGTCTTAACAGAGTTACAGCAAGCAGAGATAGTATCAAGTTGAAGGAGACAGAGAGGATGAAAAGACATCAAATCCAAATTTCAAACAGAAAACTAACATGTTTTAAACAGGGCTTTTTGTCCAATTCTGTCTAGAGAGGGTCTGATCACCCTCTGGTCTCCCTGACCAAAGAATTGCTACAGATCAGGAATTCTCCCTCTCAACAGTGTGAAGCTGGTATTTAAGTAATGTTGATACTACAGTAGATATTTCTAGTAGATGTTGATGGATCTGAATACTCCAACCTTGTTGCACCCTCCTTACTCGAGGTGCCAAAGGGGCCTGAAGGAAGCTGATGTTATGCCAAGAGTAAATTTATGTTTTAGCTCAGTGTTGGCAGCACTACTGCTATCATAGAGAAACCAAACCCTAAAAACAGATTGAGTCAAGCCAAATCTCCTCTGAAGATTATGGATTTGGGATCCAACTTTCTGATATTCTTGAGTAACGAGCTCTTGCCTTATCTTAAAATGCCAGAACAAGACAAAAGAGCACACCATGACTTATTTGGCACAGGATAAAGCTCTGTGCTTGGCAGGTCTCAAGCAGACATTAGTTCTAAGTCCCTACATTCAGGCAGGTGCTGTTCCAGCTTTGCCAACATCCACAATGTACCAATCCTTCTACCCAGCCCATTTTGACAGTTCCTTCAATGTCCAAGGTCAGGCTGTGTGAGCACAGGTAGAACTTACCCATTCTGTATTTTCACAGCACATTCAGAGTTCTTGAGATGATTCACAGCTCAGATAAGGAGGAAGTTGCTGTAGATACTTGGTCTGAGTGCAGAGTTCCTCCTCCCCGAGGAAGTGACCCCACGTGTGCTGCAGGCACAGGCAATGAGGTCACCTGGTACCCAGGGGAGGGACTGCAGCTCACCCCTCTGCTCATGGAGCACCTTCACAACTGAACAGATGCAGCTCAAAAATACCAGCCCAGGGCAAACAGCTGCAGGGACCCTGAGCTCACCAGTGAGAGGGACATCAGGTGCAGACACCTTGCTGAGGTTTTTTGGCTGAAGAAACCAAACCCTTTTTGGAGAGCAGCATTCTGCCCCTCTGCCACTGCTGATGAGTTTGTTTGGGCTCAGAGGGAGAGCAGTGTTGGCAGCTTGAGAGGTTTTCCTATCCTCCAGCCAAGAGAAATACAGAACTGAGATGAGGGAGTGGAGAAGCAAGATGAGCTCCTGTATTGCACTCTCAAATATCTTTGGGATGCATTTGATAAATATAACTTGACCAAAACCTAAAAATGAAATGCTTGGCTGTAAGGAGACAGTCACAACATTTACATGCTTCAGCTTGGGGAGACAGCCTGGAATAGTGGTGGAGAATTCCCCAAACCCAAGGAGACCAGACAGTATATTTGTTTATTTAGAGGTTTTCTGGTAGACTTTATGGCTATAATTACCTGATCTCTTTACTTAGACCAAAGAGTTATTCAGCATAAAACTTTCTGAATTGATAAATTGCCTTTCTGTTAAATGAAAAAACAGCCCAGAAACAAACAGCTCAAATGAGCTGGCCAGGCTGAAAGAAAGCCAGGGCCTTAACCATAATTACTTTCACACAGCCAGGGTGAGAAAACAATTTCAAGTAGCAATATAAACTTTTTTCAAGTATCTGCCAGGTTCTCACCCAGCTGGTAAAATTGGTTGACAGACAAAATAACACTGAACATATTGCCTGCATTCTGCTCAATGCACTTGCTCCCACAACTTCCCTACAAGGTATGAGAGAATAAGATCAAACCTCGCCATTAATACACCTTAAAAATACTGCATTTGAGGAATTTTAAGGTTTTATGCTGCATTAATGGTACAATTCCTCAAGAACAAGTGTGGATGAGAACTTAATGAAATGGGCAAAGGGCAGAATTTTGGGTGGCACAGCTCATTTGGGAAGCAAATGCATAGTGTGGAAAATAGGCTCACATAAGCAACAAGGTTTAAAATATCTTTGCATTTACAGATATTTATGCCATATTTAACTGCTTTTGTGCATGAAACAATCTTAATTACAAAGGAGAGAAATTCCATAAACAAGGCTATTATGTCAATAACAATGTCTTTTTAAAGCAAGTCTCTAATTCAGCTCTAAGGCTCGGGACGTTGCTGTCTGGAGTTGGAAAACCAAAAGCAATTACAAAGGCAAGCCTGCATCAGACAGTGGATATTAGTGGAGTCAGGCCATGGCTCTGGGACAGCATTTACTCCGTGCTTTTTCCCTTTTGGACATAACTGATCCAAACTCCTTTATTTTCTCAGTTGCAGTGCAGATGTCAGGAAGTTCACGCCGCTGGTGGACGTTTGCACAGTGAATCATGGGGCACCACTTTCCATTTCGACAAAAACAACTGCTGCTCAGTCAACAAGATGCTGCTGATCAAATGGGTGGATGGAACTCCTGCAAACTGCTGCCAAAAAGGCTCCACCAGCACAAGAAAGCTGTGTGAGCTGCCTTGGAGAACTGGGATTTATTTTTCCTTCCCTGTTCTTAAGGGACTACTCAGAGTTTCATGTTCCTACCCAACACCTGAAGGTCTCAGCCTGTGGCTACCAGCTTTGACCTGCAAGTGGAGAAAATGCTTGCTGCTGGGAGAGACTAGAATAATTCAATTGGGGTGAAAAAAGGCAGATAATGTTTTATGGAACATGGAGTGCTACAGGAGACAAGAAAAACAGCTTCCTCTGGTGCCTATTGCCAAAATTTCAGAAGACCAGACAACAACTTGAGAATTTCCAAGGGAACAGCCACTGAGTCAGTCAAGAATAGAATTAGGAAACTGCCTGTTTCAAAAGTAACTCTGTAAGATGTGCCAGCATTTTTCAGTATTTCTGTAATTTCCAAGTAGAACACTCAAGAGTTAACACACATTTATCTACTAAAAAAAAAAAAAAGCCAACCCACAGAAAAAGTCAAAATGAGAAAGGAAATCTATGTAGCAAAGAAACACTCATCATATTTCATATACTTAAAATTAAAATTGCTGATCACTTTTGCACACATTTATGCAAAGTTTATTATTCTTTGCAATTTTCAAACATCTCTACTTCCTTAGGCATCATCTACAACCAAGGACAGCTTTCCTGCAGTCACTCTGTTATTCAAAATGTGGATAAATCTGAACATGCAAAAAAGGCAACACTGGGTGCTCTTCCCTGAAAGAGGACCATAAGACTTATACTGTTCTTTTTTACTAACTGATTTTTTTTTTAAATTTCAGTGATTAAAAGCAAGAAAGGCTTAAGGGAAAGGGACTAACTTTCTGTTTTATTACTCCTCGCTGTTAGTTTTCTGCTATATAGGTTATAATGTGGCACTCATTAACAATTCATAGAGAATTACCATATTCAAGTAGCACAGCAAGTTTTTACTACCTACCCAGGCAAAATCCTGCACAGCCCTGCTTGCTGCCTTTACTTATTGTCCCAGAGGGATCTCATGCTGCAAGAGCTGGCATTTTATCACCTAACGGGAGAGGAATTCCAACAGGTTGGAAACTCCAAGGAGCCCGGAACAGAGAAACATTCCATTAAATCCCTGACAACGCAGAGCTGCGCAGCAACACGAAGCTCAGGAGATGCGTGCTGGAGGCTGCCTTGGAATTAAAAACCCCTGACGGGATTCTGGAGCAAAGTCCCACTGCTTTGAACTTCTCGGTGCTTTTCAGGGGATGCAAATGGGAGATGGGAGGTGTCGGCTTTGTCCCGGAGCGATTCCCGCTGGAAGTGCCGACAGCCGGGACGGGAGCGGGGCTCTGGGATCCCCCCGACCCTCGGGAGCATCAGCGGGAACCGAACCAGGACAAACCACAGAGGGAACTCGGGAAGCACCAGGAGCTCAGGATCCAGGAGACTAATTCATAAGAAACAAAAAACAAAACTCTATTCATACTAACTTTCTAAAAATATACATTAAATAACCTTATTACCATCCTAAAACTAATTCTACAAAAACCTATTGTTATTTGTCACGTCTACTGCTTAAAAAACTTTTCTGCTTGCTTAAAAAACTTTTCTAATATATCTGCAATGCTAACAGTACTTCAATCTAAAGCCTACATACCTTTTTTAACCATTTCCTAAAAACCCTCTAACTTTATAAATTCCAACAGGAACGAGCCCTCTAATGCAGATCAGAATTACAGAAAAAAGGTTCTTGGCAAGATCTGATTCCCCACACAGCAACGCCCACCTCGGGTTTCCTCTCTGCATCTTTTACAGACACTCGATCAGTGTTGGTTCATCATTGCAGTAGCTTAATAACTCATCTATTTTACAGGTCAGGAAAGCACTTAAATTACTGAATAAATATCACAAATTA